GCAGAGCAGAGCAGAGGGGGAGGATGACCTCCCTCCCCCTGCTGGCCACGCTCTTCTTGATGCCCCCCGGGATGCCCTCGGCCGCCTCGGCCACCAGGGCCCCTTGCTGCCTCGTGGCCGTCCCGTTGGCCACCGGGACTCCCGGGTCCCTTTCCCCAGAGCTGCTCTCCAGCAGGTCACCCCTGACCCGTACCCACCAGGGGGTTATCCCTCCCCGGACGCAGCACCCCACACTCGCCCTTCTCAAACCAGGACTAAATCTCGCTTTTGCCTTTTTCCACTGGAACCGGCCCATCTCCAGCCTCGCCGGCGACCACCGCGCACAGCCGGCAACCCCACTGCTTTGCTTTTTTACACTTTACAGCTGACACAAACCGTGGGTAAGCCCAGCCAATCTTAAATACAAATTCTCCGAGATACTGGAATAATAATAATAATAAAAAAACCCAACAAAATAATTAACTGCCCGAATACTTCGGGCTTTGCTAGAGCGATGCTGTTATAACTCTATAAAATAACACGCAGGGCCTGGGCAGAAATCAGGACCTTTCCAAACAGAGCTGGGGCTCATGACCCGGGGAATTTCCTGGGATATTTAAAAAAAAGAATAATAATAATAAAAAAAAAAAAAAAATCAGGAAAACTCATTTCCTCAAGTCACTGTACACACTCGGTATTCTACGGAACAGAAATCCATCCAGTTCCAATCCCGCAAATCTTTACGCACGGGATGACTTCGGTATCGTTACAAAGGCGGATCTAATTGTAATTAAACCCAGATGTTAGCAGGGAGAATTATTCCCCAGCGACCTGCGAGAACCCCCAGGGCACGGTCTGCGGTTTGTGGGTGCCAGTCTCCCCAAACACTCCTCCTTCGGGCCCGACCCCGAAGCGTCCGTATGCTCCGGCTTCTAAAAGCTCTCTAATTTCTTCAGAGCAAGATAAGAAATTAGTCCAAACCCAACTAAGCGGCTGCGTCTGGTCAGAAAACACCGCAACAGCCCGAAGAACGGGAGCCCCGTCCCCTGCGAGCCCTAAAGGGGGACGTTATCGCTCTTCTCGAAACTGGAGTTCCCTTTTCTAGCGAGACCCCAGGAGCCGATGCTGCAGCACCGCCGGATTCGCGCCTTTTGGGGGGGGGGGGTGGGAAAGAGCCACAGAACAAGTTAAAAACGCAAACGCACTCAATAACGCACAATTCCTGACAGCGCTGTTGAAGCTGATGGCCGCTAAAATTTGAGAAAAAGAGAGCAACTTTGAAATTCCGCCCTGGTTTTAAGCCTCGCCTGCTCTGCTCTCCCCCCTCCTACGATTTCCACTACCAGCTTGATTTCCACCAACAAACTCTCCGCTTGATTCGAGTCTTCTGAGGGAAGGAGCAGACTCCCCGCAACGTTTGTTACGGGGTGCTGGCGGGTGGATGAGGAAAAAAACCCGCTAAATGGAAGGCAAAAGGTTCAAACTCCTGCCCTAGATATGGGGGGGGGAGTTTAACACGTGTTAAGCAGCGCCGTTTAATTGTGACTGCGTTTTTAAAAGAATTAGTCATTTTTAAGCTGCGTTTTCAGCCTATCGAACCCGAATCGGACGCTCGGAGGAGCGCAGAGCCTTGCTTTTGTTTGGCAAAGCTGTGGTGGGTCGGAGGACAGGGGCGGGCGGCGGTCC